TTTCCTTATTATTTTATTTAAAATTTTACATGTTAATTTGTATTCAGGATGCTTAATGATGCTGAACCCATATGAAAGAAGACTACATTTTATAAAACTTTTATTCTCAAATTATCCAAAACAGTGTCAAGTACATAGTAGTTACCCAATAAATGTTTACTGACTAGATTGACTGATGGATTGAGAAGAGTAACAAATGGGAAAAGGGGAACTAGATTCTGCCCTGGGTCTAAAAATAAATTTTCTGGGGTTTTGAGGAAATCAGGCATTTTCTTTGGGTCTTAATTTCTCTCCCTTGTTGATCATGACCTCTGTGAGTTGAGGGCCTCCACAGCAATGAGACTGCACAGTTATGATTACCTGGCTCTGTATCCAGTTCATGCTGCCTCTCAACCAAAACAAAAGGAAAGGATACTGGAGGACAGTGTCGCTTTGTCTACCAACTAATCTTATGAGTTGGTTTAAATAATTTAATTTCCCTGGAATTCCACATACAGAAGCTTTTGTTTTAGAGCAAAACAACGATAATTTCATAATGGCATGCTGAGTTTCTGCTTATTAACATAATCACATCCAATGTGTTTTGGGAAAAATTGGTGAAAAATTGGTAAAAAATTACTATGTATTTTAATATACAATGAAATAATATGCCTGGATTAAAGTATTGAATATTTATTTCTCTCACCCAGAAGAATTTACCTCAAGTTTCTACTCAATATTAATTAGCTTATTGGTAAATTACTAACATATTCAATAGTGTCAGGTAACTTTTAATTAAAATGTTTAATTCACTTCATTAAAATACTGGGTTGGATGGGCACACTAGTTATGTTACTGCACCAGTGATTTATATAAGCCATATTGAGACATGGTTCAGAAAGTTCAAACTCAGCCAAAGTGCTTGATTTATTCTCTAGAGATAAAAATGTGATTTAGCCTTTCACATGTAACAGGTTTGCTATCAGTAAATACTTATATTAACACCTACACATAACCAAATGGATTAACTAGTCAAAATTTTAAATGACAACTCCAGCATGATTAGAATTTTTACATAGGAAAATGAATTAAAGGCATATTGACTGGATGCTTTATGCATTTATGTTTGAATAGATGGGGCTTCATCTACCCATTCATTTATTCAATAAGCATTTATGGAATTCTACTACATGCCAGACAACTATGATCAGGAAATGAAAAAATGATAAGACAAGATGTCCTAGGGAAAAAAAAATGATGTCCTAGGAGATATTTCCAGTCTAATCAATAGTATAAACATGCACATCATTAAAGTGATCTATAAGAAGTTCTACAATTCAGGCATATACAACACAAAAGGAAAGAGCATGTGAATGATGCCTACAAATACGAAACAATAAATTTAACTTTGGGAAAGGACCAAAGATTTTGAAATAATATTCAAAATATAGAATGACTATCTGTGAAATGGTACAAGGAAAAGATACCATTATAAAAATGAGCATGCATACAGAAAGAAACTTAAAGATTTGAGACAAATAAGTTGTAAAACTGTAAATTTAAATTGCTGAACTCTGAAACTCAAAAGACTGGTTCAGCATATGCAGGAAAGAGAGAAAAGAAAATAGAATATATTAAGGAGACGTGGATGATGGAATGAGAAGGCCTAATATAAGTATAATCATAGCCACAGAAGATATTTAGCAATATCTCGGCCTCACCCACTAGATGTCAGCAGTACTTATTACTCTGTTATAAAAATCATGTCTTAGACATTCCCAAGTGTCTATGGGGAACAAAATTACTTTGGTAAAAATCATTGTAATAAAGAACATATGAGAAACAAAAATTACTATCTTATTTTCCTTATAGTTGTGGGCAGAAAAATCCTAAGCAAAATGACAAAAATTGAATTTAATAACAAATAAAATGATAAAATCTCATTGGAGTTTTTCCTGAAATGCAGACAATTGCATATTTAAACATCTATAAATATCATAAGTCACACTAACAAATTTAAGAAGAAAAATCTATGTCTTTTGAATATATTTGTGACAATAAATTAATATCCTTACAACATCCAGGGCAGGCTGTTTTCACTTTTTGCTCCTCATTTAATGTATATCTTGTAAGAATCTATCTGCACTTTAAATCAGAAAATATACTTTATATTCTGTGCTGTACCTGAGGTAAGGGAATGCCAATGCAATTTGCTAATCAGAGGCCTTCTCTATAAGTTCACATTTCTGTAGAGAAAAAGCTTAAAAAATAAGATTAGTTAATAAGGCCATTCACAACTACTACAATTCCATTTAAGAGTACACTCTGGATTTATTTTAACAGCACAACAAATGTCAACTAAAATGATTTATGTTTTTAAAAGTAATTCAAACAAGTTAAATTAAATTTATATTAATGCAAAGAGAAAGTGTTTTTAATGAGTAATTCTACAGCTGTAGCATTCAATGTAATGTTCTTTGGAACCAAATTTGAGATCATTATATGTTTAACAAGTGAGAACTTGAATCTTTAACTTACTGTCTGTACTAAATAATTCTTTAGAAAAATGAAAATGAAAAGATACTAAGATTTTCCTAACTCCTACTGGTGTTTTATTTGTTTGTTTGGTTGGTTTTGTTTTTTACTGGCAAGTTGTTATGTTCTACACCTCTATTTCCAATTTACATTTTGGTAAATAGCAAACTAATGTTATTTCATTATCAAACTCTTGATTCTTGTCAATATAGACCTTATTCTTAGACAGTTTATACAGTTGGTCTTCAGTTACATCAAACCATGGAAAGCTCTTTAAATATTTTAATATTTATATGGGTGACCAGAATTATCTTCAGTTAAAATGTGAGATAAATGAATATAAACAAGCTAATGTGTATAAAGTATAATATACTTTATCAGCCTAACAGCTATTATGAAAATAATAATACAAATTGTTACATCTAACAATGGCTATGATGACAATGCATTCATAATAATGACAATCATGATAACACAATGTCTAGTTAAAGAGAAATAGATCACCACCGTCAGAGAAGGAAAGGGTCATGACAATATTCTCATTGCATAGATCTTATATACAATGTATACATTGTATAGATCTTGTTGTCTTTAGTGGCCATCATCTCACCTTTATTTTGACTACCATGTAGCCACTGACTGCTCCTCTTCCCCGTTATTGAATCCATACTTGGAACTTCATTGTCACATAATCACATGGAGAAAGAAATGTTATCACACTTAAATGAATAAGAGTCTGGGGGAATTTAGGGCTTGCCTTTGTGAATGTACACCTATCCAAGCAGAGAGCCAGGCAAAAACACAAGTCCCATTGCCCTGGAACATCTCTCTGCCTACCTGGAAGCCTTTTCTGTTGTTACCTGCCACACTCTTGCTGGAAGGTACTAATAAAAGAACCAGATCAGAGATCCTACCTTCCACTCCCAATCAAACCTGCAGCCCCAGGCAATTTCAGTGGGGAAATGTCATTTGTTCTGTTTTAGCCTACCAACTTTTTCCACATATGTCCATCAGCAACAGATATTATTAGAGGAAAAAAATAAGTGTTATTTTTTAAGATCAGTGAGAAAATAAAGGCAGAATAAATTTTTTCTATTGTGATCTTAAACAAATAAAATACTGTATACACAAATATCCTTAATATATAAAACATTACAAGCCAGGCATATTGATGAACATCTATAACCCCAGCATTCTGGGAGGCTGAGGCAGGAGGTTTGCCACTTCAAGCTAAGTCTGGGCAATTTATCAATTTAGTAAGACCTTGTCTCGAAAAAAGCACAAAAATCTATGAATGGGTGGGGCCTGGGGACATAGCTCAATGCAAAGGTCCTAGGTTCAATCCCAGTAGTGAAAAAATAAAAAATAAAATAAAACGTTAAAGGCTTTTAGTAGTGTAAATTGGGGAGGGGGGCCCAGAAAAGATAATTATAAGGCATGGGATGGTGTCCTTTTAGTCTAGGATTCCCCTTTTTTGTTTTTTGGTATCCGGGATCAAACTCAGGACCTTGTGCTTGAGAGGCAAGTGTGGTGCCACTGAGCTAAATCCCTGGCCTGGATTCCCCCTCTTAATGCTTAAGAAAACACTCTCCTGTCCCTCATTTCAGACCTAATGTGGGCAGGAATTGAGTTCATAAGTGACAGCGTAATGCATAGATATCATTTGAACATGTACTAGAGACCACTCACCATGATAAGTAGTTTAAATGCATATTTTAGCACATTTTGTAGTTTTAAGAGCTACCATTATCCTAAACTTTACAGGAGGAGAGTGTTAGCAAGATTCAATCACTTGCCCTAGGATACACACATAGTAAGGGGCTCAAATCTTTGTCTCTTTGAATCCAGTGCACTTAACACATTGCTATAATACATTTTGTAAGGTTTGGGAATGTTTTAGTCTTTGCCTCTTTGGGCTCTTTTAAGGAAGAAAGAATTTTTTCTCATTAATTTTTATATCTCTGGTGCACGCAGTGATGCCTGATAAAGAACAAATACTCAACGACTGTCAAATGAGTAAGATGACAAATTAATAAATAAAACTGGAAGATAATCTTAAAAGGACACAGAATATTAAAGTTAGTGCAAAAAGCTAATTTTACACCAAGTGTTTAGTTTTGGGCCCCTCAAATTCTACTGTAGCAACATATGACTATTTTATGATAAGCACATTTTTAACCCTAGAATTAAATGAAATGCTTTCAAAAATATATACTTTACTGAGGGGATTTAAATGAGTGACTGAAATTCCATAATCAGAACATGACACAACCAAACCAGTGTATAATCATGTTTCCTATCATAAGCTCCTTGAAGTGTTCTAATGGGTCACAATTTTGTAATGTAGGCATGAGAGGAAGATCTGTGCTCTTGACAGTATTCTACACAAGCATTTCAACTGGCTCTCGATGAAACACAAACCCTCTTTCCTAAATTGCACCCTTGGTCTCTCTCCGTATCTGTAAGCAGGCGGCCTTAACTGTTACCTTCACATCCTCTGCCATCTTCCTCCAGCTTCTGGCCAGCTAGGCATCTGCAGTAATAACTGCCAATTGTATTACAGCACTGATCCCGACAGACACCATTGTCAATGGTACATTCATTTATATCTGCAATTAAATAGTTAAATAGAATCAACCTCTTGAAACTAAACACAGGGAAAGAAACTTTGGTGTCTCTCCTAAAAATGAAGCATCATACAGTGGCATTGTTCTCTAGCCTTAGATTAGGTGAGGTAGGGTGCTCTAAGTGGATGTAAAGAAAGAAACAAGTCATAATCTTTAGTATCTGAATTATAATTTTGAACAGTGAATCAAGAAGTTTTCTAGTCTTACCGATTTGGGAAACTAGGGCTGGGGATTTAGCTCAGTGGTTCTGCCGCCTGCCTTGCAAGTGCAAGGATCCGAGTTCAATAACTGATACCAAAAAAAAAAAGAAAAGACAACAGATTTGGGAAACTAATAATACACATGTAGAAATTTCATACACAATCATCATTTGAGGATGAGACTGTGATCAGGGAGAGAAACTAAATCCAACACTAGGTCACCTATTCATCTGTTAAATATGCTGTTACTAGCTCTTCAAATAATTACTGAGCACTTACTGCTACATATTGACAATGTTTTATAAAGTGGGAGGACAGTAAAAGGTAGTAGTGAGGTTTCCCAAGGTTAAAATCCACCTGGGGTTGAGGACTAAACAGAAATGTGATTTGCTTCTAAACTTGTGGTCAGAAGTTATCTTTACAGATAATGCTCAATTTTGTAGATTTCCCCTATTCAGCAGACAGCTGGTATTTAAAACCATCTGCAGATTTGATAGTAGCCCAAGAGGTGATCTGTTGTTATAGTTGTGCTCAAAACAGGTGCCTCTATTGAACGTGGTCTGGCTGACGTGATAGATCTTTGCCCCATGAGATAAGTTTGCCTGAGTGAGGGAGTGGAAATGGAATGGAGCACATGTAAGCATGAGACAGAGAGGAAGATAGAGAGAAAGAGGAAGAGGGAAAAAGAGAGGGAGAGGGTGTTATTAAAGGACAGCAGAAGCAAAATACAATCACAGAAAAAGAGGAGCCATGATACCAAATTGTGCAACTTATACTGAAAGGAAGAGAAGACAACAGGCAGTGAGCTGCAGTTCATCTTGATTGGATACTACTAATTTTGTCTGCTGCTGGATAGGCAGCCATTGTGATAGCTTGTTTTTAGGTAAGTTTTCACTGAAGTGTGTCATGCACATAGGCATTATACAATTTTTTAGGATGCACTATGGTGATTTTATAGAAACAAAATATACCAACGCAATCCTTTTTTTCTTTTCATTTCAGTGCTAAGGGATCATACTAAAGGTCTTTTTCATGCTATGGGAGAACTCTACCACTGAGCTACATTCCCAACCCACAGTGCAATCTTTTTTTTTTTTTGGTACCGGGATTGAACTCGGGTCCTTGCGCTTGCGCAGCAGGCGGCGAAATCACTGAGCTAAATCCCTGGCCCTCCACAATGCAATCTTAATGCAGTGCAAGAACATGATTGGCATCCAAGAAGCAGCAGCCTCCTTCATTGAAGAGAGCAGGAAGCAATTGTAAACACTATAGTTTTAACACGATAGGTTAGTTTTGTGGTTTTGAACTGTACATGTAGAATTATACTGTGTATTTATGTGTGTGTGTGTCTACTTTCATTCAGTACTCTGAGATACACCCATGTTGTTATATACATATATTTGTAATTTATTCATTCTTATTTATGAGTATTATTTTATTCTATGAGTATACCATAATATATACTAATCCATTTTGCACACAATGAACAACTGGATATTTTCTTGTTTGGGGCTATTTTGAAGAGGGCTGCTACAAGCATTCTTATACATGTCTTCAATTAATTTACATAGGTATGTGTTAGGTAATATATCTTAGACTAAAATTGCTAGGTCAAGAGATATGGCACTCTAGTAGTTACAGTCAAGTAGACTTTTAAAGAGATTATTCTAATTTATACTTCCACCAGCTGTGTACCAGGGACCAGATGCTACTTATTCTTGCCAACATTTGGGATATTCTGGTTTTTTTTCACTTCATCTCTTCTGAGGAGTTTATAATAGCATCATGTTGTGACTTTAATTTGCATTTTCCAGATTATTAATTAGGTTAAGCACATTTTCATGTTATTGGCCATTTGGATGACATCTTGTTGAAACAATTGTCCAAATATTTTGTCCATTTGTTCAATTCTTAAATATTCATTCTTTTATTTACTGGTTTTTATGTAAAATTTTAAGTAGAAGTGGTAGAAATGGTGATCTTTTTCTCCAGATCTCAAAAGGATAGTTTTCAACATTTCATATTAGATATAATCAGTACTCTGGGATTGGAGATATATCTGTGCCATCTGATTTCTGTCCATCTATATACATATTTAGAGAAATTAGCTTTAACAGTTTAGTTTCCTACATTGTATACCATAAAATACGTTGTAAGCTTTGTTTACTACTTTCTCTTCATCTACAAAGATAATTACAAGGTTTTTTCTTATGAATTCTGTGATGTGACAACATTGAGTTTTGCATCACTGAAATAAACCTGGGTGATACACTCCTTTTTAATATATTTCTGCATTCGGTTACCTAATATTTTGTTTTTAAGATTTTTGCAATTATGTTCATGAGAGTGACTTTCCCATACTTTTTATTTTTTTATATAATATTCTTACTATGCACCCATATTACATTGGATGCATAAAACAAATTGGAAGTTTTTTATCTTTTTTATTCTCTAAAAGAATATATATAAGATTGGTGTCATTTATTACTTAAATGTTTGGACAAGTTCATTTATTATGCCATTTAGACCCAGATTTGAAGTGTGTATCTCTGTGTGTATAGACTTAATACTGCATTCAGTTTGTTTACTACATGTTTAACATTTAGTTTTTCATTAAATATGTTGGAGAAATTGTGCTTCAAGGAATTTCCTATTTCATGTAAATCCTATTAAGTTCTTAATAATATTCTCTTACTATTTTTTAAATGTTTGCTTTTTTCTTGATCAGCTGTATTATGCATTTATCAATTTTATGTATGTATGTATGCGAGTATATATCTATCTACCTATTTTCTATCTCAGCTCTTTATCATCTATCTGTTTTAGCCTTTTCCAAGAAAAAGCTTTTGGCTCCAATGATGAACATTTTTTTCCATTCAATTAATTTGTGCTAGGATCTTTACTATTACTTTCTACATTATTTGGGTTTCTTTCACTAGATGGAAATTTAGATAATTTCTTTTTAGCTTTTCTTCTTTTAGAATACGTTTGGTTATCTATAAATATGTAACAAACCACCCCAACACCAAGTGGTTTAAAGAGACAATATATTATTGGTTTTCACATTTCTGGGGACTTGAGGGCTCAACTGCATGGTCTCCACTTGGGGTCTCATAGATGGTAGCAGTCAGGGGGCAGCTAGGGCTGGACTTGCAGGCAGGCTTTTCTTTCACTCAATTGTGAGATTTGAGCTGAGGTTTTGGGGCATCTGAGTGGCTCCCTGCTTGTTTCCTTCTCTCCACGCAGCCTCTACACATGATTAGCATGGTCTTCTTCTTACTTGGTGCTCTCCGAGTCTACACATTTTAAATGGTAGTTGTCATTTCCCAGAGACACCATCCCAAGAGATCTGCATAGAACCCAAAAGACATTTTATGGTAGTGCCTTAGGAGTATGGTAGTATCACTTCTTAAGGTACATATTGATTAAATAAGTTACAGGTCAGCTAAAATGTAAGGAAGAGGAGGGATTCCTTCTCCTCTAATGGGGGGACTGCATATATGTCCAGGGAAGGAAAATCGATGGCAGCCTCCTTCAAGGCAGTATATTGCACTAATGTGTTTCTTTTAGTCTGTACGTTTTTCTAAAATTAAAGTATCATTTGCATCCTATAGTTTTGGCACATTAAACTATCATTCAACTCAAAAAATATTTACTAATACACAACAGAATTTCTGTCTTAGATTCCTTTAAAGAACATTTTTGGGGTTTTCTAAACACTTAAGGAATTTCCAGTCTTCTCATTATTATGAAATATTAAATTAATTTCACGGTGAACAGAGAATATACTCTGCATGCTCTCAATTTTTAAAACATTGTTAAAGGTTGCCTTATATTCTATCACACAGTCAATCCTCCCAAAATCTATATTTACTGGAAAAGAATGTGTACTCTGAAATTGCCAGATGTTGTTTTTTGTACATAGATATGTGCATGAATGTATTATAGTCACATATTAATAGTTATATATTTCAAATATTCGAGTTCATTAATCATGCTTTTTATATCTTTACATTTTAAACAATTTATATATTTTTCTACATTTAGTAAAAGGGGATCTGATTTTACCTTTTTCTTTTTATTACTGCAATTTTTGTTTAGTATAATCTTTGTTAGGAGGGACATACACATTTAGAACTCCCACATCTTTTTTTTTTCTTTTGGTACTGGGGATCGAACTCGGGACCTTCCGCTTGCGAGGCAGGCAGGTGGCGGCACCACTGAGCTAAATCCCCGGCCCTGCCACATCGTAATAGCAGATATAATCCACTGAAAAGTTAAACAGAAGTTCACTCTATGGACATTGAATCATGCTATGGAAATTCAGAACCATCTCTTTGTTAGAAAAGATAAAGAATAGAGAGCTGAGCAACAGATACAGGTGTATATAAAGTTCGTTAAAGTTGAAAAACAAGTTAATATGGAAAATAATATATAATATATAATATACAAACATGACTTCCAGTTATATATATCAAACACATAAGGGTTAGACTTCAGATAATGTACTCGTCACTTATAATTTGAAATATCTTTCTTAAGTAAGACTTCTAAAGTATGTACTAAAAACAATATATTTATCTAAAATATTGTTAGTTTTAGAAAGAAATTAATATCTTCATCTTCATTGGAGATATCATCACCATTTGAAAATTGTAGGAAGGTGGCATTCAGGCTAAGGAGAAATACATTAGGTCAAAAATCAAATTCATGAGGAGTTGTGGGAATGATAAACCTTAAGAAAACTATAAAATATCTTTGACTACATATGACTTTGAAGTA